CTCTCTCTCTCTCTCTCTCTCTCTCTCTCTCTCTCTCTCTCTCTCTCTCTCTCCTGCTGCTCACTCGTAGCACCGTTGTTGCTCCCCAGGCCGTTGGTGCGTGGCTCGCAGCCGCGCTGTTGCTCCCCAGGCCGTCGGTGCGTTGCCCCCCTCCTCGCCACCCCGCCACCTCCTCCCTGCTACTGAACCATGCACAAGTTGTGTCGTCGCTGGATGACGGCGCCACAATTCAATAAGCACCAGAAGTTCAAAAGTGGGGAGCGAACCTTGCCAACTGTTGTGTTAGGTTCGCCCCCTGTTGTTTTAATGGGAGCGAAACTCAGCATCCCGTTTGAAAGCGGTAACTCATCTAAATGTGGGTCGTGGTGCAGCCGCCAAGAGGCAAGAGGAGCGTGCGAAAAATTTGAAAGAAGGTTCCTGTTTTTTCTTTTTCAAGGAGGACCTCGACCTTTTTTTTTTTTCCAGGCAGGCCGACGGCAGGACTTGACATTTYGTGTGTCCACCTTCGAATTTTTTAGGCGGGTGGACATTTCATGTAGGGATTGGGGGGAATGGGGGGGGAAGGGGGTCCTCATGGGTTGTCCTGGGTCTGTGGGTCGGGTGACCCAGGCCTAACACTCACCCACCTGTCACCCACCCACTTGGGTGACCCAGGCCTAATGTTGACCCACATGTCACCCACCCAGGCTGCCTGGCCTTGACCAGCCCTCATCCCACCCAGATCACCTTATCAAGACCCGCACCTGACCCAATGTCCTCGTGGGTGGGGTGGGTGCAGGTGGGTGCGGGTCTGGGTACCCGGTGCTCATCTCTGGGCTGGGCATACAGATGCTGCAGGGCTCGCTGAGCGAAAGAGGAAGCACATGCGGAAGAGAAAAAGTCTTATGGATAATAAACGGAGTAGGCAAGAAGCGGGTGAAAAAAGACGATTGAAAACAATGCCCGTGGATGCGGCGGTCAAGCGAACGCGGGAGACTGAGGCAGCCGCGAAGAAAAAGCAGCAGCCAAAGAAAAGAAAGGCAAAAGGTGGTGTTATGGAAAAGACTTCTGTTTTTCCAGCGGAACAACCACAATCGGATGAAGAGGCCAAAGGCAAGACAGTTACTAGGCCGCCAAGTTTGCGAAATGTGCCATCAGTGACTTCTTCTGGTGTTCTTAGCAAAGGCTTTTTCCTTGAGTTGGACGAGCATGGGAACCAATGTCCAGACATGGAATTCATTTCTGTCCAGTTCAACAGAATTCTGGATATCCCGGACGGGGAATTCAGATACAATCAACGTTATCTTATGCAGCAGACGGTTGACGACATTTATGACGCAATGATTGCATCGGGTGAGGCTGCTATGAGAGAGAGAATGACTGGAGTTGCCGGTGTGAATGTCTGTACGTTGTATGAGAAGGCTGTCCTTTTGTTGGTTGCCCTCCGTGATACATTGCATACTGACGCTTCAGGGAGGATTGTGAGAGCAAGGAGGGTGCTGCCCGATGATTTTGATCTCGAATCTGTGAACAAGTACTACTACTACCCTCTCAACGGTCAGCATAACGTGGCGGTGGCAAGAAGGCGTTTTGTTGAACGCTCTGACATCGCACAAGAGCTCCGATTGGATCGCTGGACTGCGAGGCCTGTTTATTATCCGGATAAGAGTATGGACAGTTACGGCACGCTGAGCACTTTCCAGAACTCCAAGGACAAATGGAATACCCCACCGCGACAGAACGTGGTCGTCCAGAACATACGGAAGTTGTGGCACGAGTCGAACTATCCTAAAGCTAAAGGCGGCTCAGCGGCAGAAGTGAAAAATGCAGAGTATAGAAAGTTTGCGGGAGAGGCTTTTCGTTTGACCGGGATTCGTAATTTGATTGACATGTCCCTTACTACTCAGTGGAGCGGCCAGTGGTCTAACGCCCTCAGGCCCTACATATTGTTGGCAAGGGCGACAGATGACGTTTTTGAAAAGGTGAAACAAGTGTACGCCGCTTGGGAAGCTGGACAATTGTCGGGGAGAGATGTTGTGAAGCCTGCTACCAAACAAGGTGAATCAGGGAAGGCACCGAGGGCTGGACCCGGATTTGAGTTGAAAGGTGGAGTTAGGTATCCGGTTCACTGGGTTCAGGGTATCAAAAGACCTGGTTTCCTCGTGGTTGTGCACGATCCGGATATCAGAGCGTGGAAGCCTTTTTCGGCGCTTGGGAGGCGTGAGCGGCTGCAACTGTTGCGAGACATTCTCAAAGGCAGTGTGATACTGACTCCTAAGCGAAGTGGAGCTGTTGAACGTGCCGGGAAACATTCAACGGAAACATATGTGGAAATGGTGAAGATTGAAAGAGCAATGTTGAGGATGTTTCACTACTTCGTCTTCATTTATAACCCTCACAGGAAGTCGTCAGAGTGGACGGAACCATTATTCAACAACCTTTTCTATTTGTTTGATAAGTACTCTAATGAAGGATTGACGTCCGAGAGGTGGATCGACCAGCGTCGCCATTTCAAAGAGATGAGTTGGGTGTGAACGTTCCCGGCTACACTTGGAGGAGAGGAGGAAAAAGGAGAAGAGCTATGTATCCCCAACGGCCGCGGTCACCGCGGGCATGACCGCGGCCCATGCAGTCAATCGCGGGCCCGCGGTCATGACCGCGGCGGCCGCAGTCGAAAAACGCTCGCCGCAGGCAGGGGAGGGGGGCTACCCGAAGTCGGGGTCAGGATTCCGAGGGCGCACCCCAGGCCCTACCCCCCTACATTGAAAAAAAAGAAAAAGACTTAAAAATGGGGGGGTCCATTTTAGGGGGGGGGAAGAAAAATAATGGACCCCCTTTCATTGTTTTTTTTTTTACTTTTTTTTCCCGTTGTATTGAACCATTGCGAAGTTTTGTATTGTTTTTTTTTTTGGGGGGGGGGGG